CGAGGTGTCCTCTCAGCTTGATTAGTTTTCTAAAAGTATTAGCGTATATATATATATATTCTGTTAAAGATGTTAAAGATCGCAAAGTTTGGCGTTACGTTTATCAAACAACAAAATCCTTAATAATTTCAAAAAAAAAAAGAACTAGAATTTCGTTTTGATTAATTGGACGTTTCGTTCTTTTATTGGGACTTCTTCAGCAACTTAATCTCTAAAGTTCAGGTTCTTTTTTTTATTTAAGCAGACATACATTTTTGTAATATTCAAAACACTATACATCTAAACTTTGTTATCTCTTGATCCGTTATATTTGAACACTCAACAAAACTTTTGAATGTCCAAATTTTCCCTACGATACCTATTTATTAATCCTTAATAATATTTATATTATTAAACATTATTTAATACATCATTAAGTATGAAACGTCCGATTATTCCTACTACATTCAGTTCGAAATCAGACATTTCATACTTAATAAATAAATATATAATCCTGATAATATTACGTTATGCTTTTAACGTGTTCTTCTTCTTCTTCTTCTTGTTAGTTCATGGAATACATTGATTAGGCGCGACACAAGGTAGTCCTCGGTAATCACGAAAGAACATATCGTCGTCGTCGTCGTCTTAGTGTCTCTTTTAGCTGATGTATCGTGAACAGCATTCACGATAGTAGGTGCCAAGCAGCAATCTACCCAGCTTAGAGTTTGTTCGTTGAAAGCGCACGTAGCAGCGGAAACAGCAGCAGCAGCAACGCATGCCTGGTTGTATGCACATGCATGGTGGTACCGAATCGTATTCGTAACCTCATTGGAAGCTTATTCCCCGAGGTAAGACGACAGTTCCTAAAGCTGGAAGACCTACGAAGGCGAGTAAAATTCTCTCTCTCTCTCTTTCTCTTTCTCTCCCTTTCTCTTTCTCGCAGTCAAGACAACGAGGGTGTAAATCAGGCAAAACTGCACTTTGGAATTAAGGGACTCCTCTTTCTCTCTCTTGCATATACACACTCGCTCACTTACTCCTACGTTTAGTTAATGAATGTAGGGCCGCCTCTAATTAGACGTTCTTAATACCGCGCGCGCGTTGCTTCGTGCTATTAAAAGAGGAATGGAATGGAATGTTGGTGCAAGGAGGAAAGATCGCTACAGATAAACGTCCTACGTCTTATCCTGGAGTTTATAAGTGTGACTCGTATCGAAGATAAATTTGGGGTATCTTTAGCGAGAGTTAAATATATATAATACGCTGTATAAATCGTGTTACTTTTTAACGTGCTTTAATAGAAAATAAATCTGAATGAAAAAGTATTTCATTTTTGTTGTTCCGAATAGAATAAAAGTTCGTTTCATCTCGGTTTAGTTTTTTTTTTCTTTTTTCGAATTAATATTAAAACAAGTCATAAAGTTTGTCGATCGATAAGATCAAAGGTAATGGTAACAGGTAGTAACACCACTGATTGCTATTTAATGAATCGGCTTAGCGACTCGTAAGCATTCAGGACGGATTATCGAAGTGTAAGAGTCAGTGAATACGGTCTATAGGCAAACCCTGGAAAACAGTCGAAAGCGGTGATTTCGTTTTGCAAAGGGCTTTAGAGCAGAAAAGGGTTCCAAATGGAATAAAGATTATTCGTCCGAGTTGTCGCTATCGCGGTCTATCTCTCTCTCTCTCTCTCTCTCTCTTTTCGAAAAAGGTCAGTTACCCTCACCATTAGTCATACGCTTCTACTTCTAACTGTTAATGTCGGCGGACACTCTATCCTCTTGCCAGGTTTCCTTCGAAGACCAATTACGGACAATTACCCGCAACCTATTACGCGCTAAAACCTTGTCACTGCGATTATCGTTAGAGCATAAAGCTACCGCCTACATCTCGGCGGCATCGTTGAGTATCCGCCTGAAAACTCTCTGCACACTATTCCCCGGCTCCCCTTTCTCTTCCCCCCCCCCTCTCTCTCTCTTTGCCCGTCTCTCAGCACTCTTCTCTTTCCAGTTTACGTGCAAGTCGTGAACATCGGAGTTTCTGGCGGAGGTAGTGGTAATGGTAGTGGTTGTGAGCAGGGCTTAAGGTCACGTTGGAACCGTCGAGGACGAACGAATCGACCGGATAACGTGATGGGATTTAACATTCGCGAACCATCAGTCAACGGGAAAGCTTTTTGCTTGTTGATGAACGACGTTATATCCTCTCTGGCTTTTTTCTTCTTCACGAGCAGCTAGGTACAGCTTAAGGAAAAATAGCGTTTTTCTTTGTATTATTTCAGGTAAAGGAAAGCGCGAGCTAAGTTCCTCGAGTCTTATCAAACTCTCGATGTTTTATATAACTAGAGTCATAGTTTTTTTTTCTTCTTCTTTTTATTTCAACAACGTTTCAAATTGAACAAGAGAATATATTATAATACGAATTCGTTGTCGCGTAACTTTAAGAATATTTGTAATTTGTTAGAAGAATCGCGCGTACCGGTAAAACATTCCTCGTGTTTTTGAACGATTAACAAAATCTTATTGTTGTAAGAAATATTTATTATCGCGTACGCGATATATTCGTTTCAAAAAAAAATCTATACTTCGACTTCCGTATTTTTAATTCACGTATTCACTTATCGAACTATTGCGTATATGCGATCGAACGGTGATAACACGTATCCGAGTCCCAGTGTGTTTTGGGTTATCAAACAACATAGTAGATCAAGAAATATCGCAACGATTACTAAATCAACTATATATCTCGTATCTCTAATATATTGAGAAGAGGTTCCGATGATCGTCATCCGAATGATTCTGTTAACCGTATGAAGGGATAACGGAAAATCGACGACTGAGAGAGAGAGAGAGAGAGAGAGAGAAGTACTCTGGGTGGTGGTGGTGGTGGTGATGGTGGTGGTGGGAAGAACCTCCGGAATATCTAGTTATCCGGTGAATCGGCGATACTACAGAGGGAATAGACATAGTAAATTGAGAGAGGGACTATCTCCGTGCGACGTTATGGAGCTAGAATATTATATCCACCGCGGAATTATGCCATCCATCAAAATACCGATGCCTAGGATAATTGATGCCATCGCAGCGGCGACGCCAGTCATGCTAGACAGCACATGGCGTAAAATTGAATATCGATTAGACGTTCTGAGAGGTTTCGAAATGGGGCTTTGCGCCAAAGTTATTAAATCCTCCTCTACCAAGCTGAAGTCCCTCGATTAAACGGTAGCAATAATATCAAGTTTGTCACTGAGATTCTGAAGTAATAAACGGTTACTTCCAATCTCTACTTACGTATGTACGCTCGCATATTAAACTTTCTTTTTTTCTCTTTTTTTTTTATTTTTTTTTTTGGTGTATTATTATATATTATTTTTTAACAAACTTCGATGCCACCCTATCTTATTTTGTCACATTGTATCCTCTCGAGGAATCGATTTGCGTTCGCTACTGTGCATTACGCAAGAGTATTAAACTACGTATTTAAAACTAATGACAAATAACGAATTAAGTTTCATTGACAATTGCATTGGAATATAAAAAGAGAGTCGGTGAACGGATTGCTAGCTGGCTGGCTGGTTGGTTGGTTGGTTGGTTGGTTGGTTGGCTGGTTGGCAGGGTACTGCCACAGAGACCACAGACTGCGAACAACAACGACAGCTAACTCCAATGGCAAGCCTATCACTGTTAATCGATTGTCGAACGATATATCTATGCTGACATAACTCGGGGATTTATCGGTGCCACCCCAGACGGTGGCAGAGCTCGATATGCTAATAAAGCACTCCTGTACATCGATAGATAGCGAGCGCGCGCGCACGCACGATATTCGTGCTAGAGAATACCACCACACTTACATCGATTCGCAGAGAGATATCTTTGCTCATTAATGCTTGTTTTTTACGTGCTAACACGGTGCTTATATTATTTTTTTCTTTTCTTTTCTTTTCTTTTCTTTTTTTACTAACATTTTTCATCGTCCCTTTTTTTTACCTTCTTCTTTTGTTCAACTTTTTTTTCCACCCCCCTCCTCTCCCTCCCTCTCTCCCTCCGGCCCAAGTCCTCCTCCCATTCGGTAGAACAACAATAATATTAATGGTAAAAAATAGAGGAGTCAACTTGTGTAATTTATCTTTCTCATTATAGTCTCTCCTCGGTCTCGGAAGTTGGAAGTAATATTACTCTCTGCGCAATGCGAGATAACACGACGAACAATTATTCAGATAGAGTCCTAAACTAATCTCATATAATTTCATCTATTTTCTTTTTTCGTTTTTTTTTCTCGTTCTTCTTCTTTTCTTTTTTACCAACGAAAATATAATCCTTATATCATATTCCTGGCACTTGGTGCGATTTCTATTCTCCGTCTAGATCGTTTCAATCAGCATTGTTCTATCTCTATTCGTCAAAATCGGAGCTGTTTTCTCTCTCTCTCTCTCTCTCTCTCTCGCTTTCTCTTTCTCCTACCTACACACAAAGGAATTCCTCGATTTCTCTACGTTGGACTCAACGAAATTTTCACTCGGTTGGTAGAGAGAGAGAATTTTATCTCGATTTTCGTGAATGTTGACGTTTCTTCCCTGTCTCCTTTTTCTCTCTCTTTCTCTCTCTCTCTCTCTCTTTTCTCTTCAGGCGTCGTGCGCACGACATCCAATAGAGCTCATGGTTTTATTTTCAACCCCCTGTCCCCCGACCCACCCCCCCCTCCCTTTCCACGTCGCATCCTCCGTCCTTTCTGCCATAAAACCCTGCTCCACATAGATTCGTTGTCGGGCTATTGCAACGTCGATAGACACGAACAGGGGTGGCGGGAGGTCGGGGGGGGGAGGTGAAAGAGTGAATGAAAAACACACGCGTAGTTTGAAAAGAGGGAAAGAGAACCTACTATCACACCACCACCTTCGTGATCGATATTTAAAATAGGAACGCCGCGGCATGATTTTTCCTTTCTACAAATCTTCCTGGCATTTGTAACAATAAAAAAGACAATATTTGGATCAAAGTTTTTTTTTTTTTTTTTTTTTACTACGATCTTATTCCGTGGTTTAAGTTTTTCGCATAGCGTTTAAAATATTTCCTACTATACACAATCCGGTGTCGGTGGCAAACAGAACGGTCAATATCGCGTTGTTTACTCCCGGTAGCAGCAGCAGCAGCAAGCAAGCAGCTTTTCCAGAGATGAGAACAAACTTACTCAGCAACAAGTACAAATAAAAAAAGAAAGAATCAAAAGGAAGAGAAAGAAAAAGAAAAAGAAAAAAAAAGGAAGCGAGTACTCTTATCCGTCGTCTCATTAGACGCCTTTCCACATTTGCGATTTCACTCTCTCGCGCGAAATAATTTTTCCGTAGCAAAGTTAAAAGAGATATTATAAAGGCTTTTCGAATTCATTTATTAGCACACAAAGAGAGAGAGAGAGAGAGAGAGAGAGAGAGAAAAAGATAGGAACGATGATAATAATATGACTCACGTTGAAAAGCTTAGGATTACGTCAGAAATGATCTTTCCGCTCTCTCTGTCTCTCTCTCTCTCTCTAGTAATCGGTCATATATGTGTGCGCATACGTAAACTCAAAGACAGACAGACGTAGAAACTTACTGCTCGTAAAGTTGGCTATCGCGGAATGTTTGAGAAATTGGGATCACGTAAAGCGTTGCGTAATACCGGGATACGCTGCTAACTTACGCGTTCTAACCCCGTGCTTAAGGCAAGGCATAACGTATATAAATGTGAGTATATGGTACGTATATATATACACACGTATATGTATACGTACGTCTTATGTAAGTACATTACTCGCGCGAACCAACGAGCCGGGATAAATTATCGGCTAGGGTTGTCAAGTAACGGAGTAGTACTCTTCTTCGTAACCGTGGCGCCAAAGAAGATTCGACGATACGTTATATGAATTCGTCTTAAAAAGTTGCGAGTGGAAAGAGTATATATATATATATATCTCTTTCATGATCGTAAAAAACTAGAACTCATAAACTTCGCTCAGTCTCCGGTATTCACCTATAATAACTGAACGTCATCTTGTAAGTAGTTACCTTTAACGTAGAATGCATTCTTTTCTGTATTTTTCTTTTGTTTTGTTTGTAGATGTATCTTTTGCCTTCAATTAAGAAAACTGCATAAAATGATCGTTAAATTTTTTTATATGAAAAATTGATGGTTTTATCACTGTCGGGTAAAGAAATTGAACGAGTACGGTATTCTAATCTTCATCGGTTGAAAATTTATATCGAAATGATTGACTATGGTTGAATCTTCTTTTTAAACCATAAAGTAAGAACGATTCATTTATTTTATCTAATGCTTGCTGATAATAATGTGATATAGAAGAAGATAATTTGTATATTCTAACGTAATCCAAATTAGAAACGAATTTTGTATATGCTTTTGCACACACAATGTAATTACATTGTTAATAGAGTTTTATTTCTCTCTCTCTCTCTCTCTCTCTCTCTTTCTCTCTTTCTTGTAATGGTCAGTAATGTACAATCCGTTTCAATTACAAAACGATGCGCCATGGCGCAAAACAAGAGGGGTATAATTTTGCCGAATATTCGGTAACAGCTGCGCAAAACGTCGAGTGTATCAATTCGTAAAGCTGCTTCGCGTTATCGGTGTGTTTCGAGCTCTTTACTCGCATCAAACAATTCTGTGAGTATTATGCGCCTTTGGGATTTGTAGTAGTAAATGTTAAGAACGATAATAGCGAAACGTTGTATTCGTGAATATATATATATATATATATATATGTGTGTATGTGCATTGGTTTAAGTAGGTGTATTAATGTACATAAATGTTACAAGAAAATGAGATCGAAATTAGATATAGTTATGATGAATATTAGTTACGTACGTAATCAATGTATGTATGGTATAGTATAACGATTATAATTTAACAATAGTAAACCAATTGATCGAATGTAACTTTAATAATGATTTGATACGGGATTTGCTTTCATGATTATCCGGACGAAGGTAGTTGAGAAAATTCGTTTTAAATTAGTATACTTTTCAATGGCAAATTTAGTTTTCTTCTATTTGCGTGTACATGGACTCTCATATGTGTAATAGTGTCGATCACATAGGGTGTAGTTGTTGCAATGAAAGTGGACAAGAGAGATCGCGCAGAAGAGAAGCGACGGAGCTTACCAAAGTTTAATTGCAACCAGTTACACCGTTGTTGATTACGGCGTTAGTTAGCTAACTGAAGTTGAGTAATTTATTTTCTACAAAGCATTACAGGAAGTCCATTGGCATAAACAAGGTGTCAATCAATGATATTCTCGTTGGGATTATATTCGTGCTTAATTATTTGTCGCATTTTAATTGCGTATTATCAAACACACAGTAGCGTTTTAATCGTTGATAGTAGATTTTCGATCAATGGAAAATCGTTGCATACGTTTTAAAAGGAATGCTTATAATAGTTGATAAACTTTCTATCAGAAAATCGTATTATTTCATTTTGCTTATAAAACACGAAATGGCGAACATATATTTCCTGTCATCTAAATATAGTTAGACACGGTTCTGTCGGACAACGGGAAAACGGCCCCCGATCATTCCATCCGCACGTCAGTTTTCGTTCACTTTGTGTGCACGATTCAACAACGAGAGAAGTATGGTTATACTTCTCCTTGACGTTGTCAAGAGCTCACCGTCGTCACGCTTTCCGATTTTCTGTTCTTCTCAAACTTACGTAATCGTGAAACTCAGAAGAACGATCTTTTCTACCAAAGGCGAGCAAGAACTTTTAGATTTTTACATTACTTTAACTTAATTACTTATAATCATTTCGATATGATAAACAAAAATAAATAATACAAATAAATAATCCTATTCGAATTATAGTTCAAAAGTCCGTTATGTTTACATCATTTTCCTACGATTCCACTTGTACGTAATGCAGAGTTGGTGTGATAATAAGTCAGTGTGTGACACATTCCTCCCCTCCTCCTCCCTTCGTACCATTGTACAAAGAGAATTATGCATTGCTTTCAATGCGTTAGTTTCAAGTTCAAGGATATATATCGTAGTCGTACGCAACTTTCTTCCTACACATGTACTTAAGTAAATATGTGCACATGCGCCTACGTGAGTACCCGTGCTTCTCGTTCTAAGGTTGCCAGTTATGTATGGGAATGCTGTTCGTGTAAGTAGATCGGCGCGAACTGGTTTTACGCAAAAAGAAGTCAACCGTATGTATGAACACTATACTACCGGCAATAACGTCTAGTTCTTCTTATCGAATATACTTGACGTTACAACACGCGTAACTTTTTGTAACGTAACTTGCTATTAGATTACATATTTTATAGATAATTTAACGAGCGCGAGTAAATATACGGTGAGCATTGGATGAGGGGGAGGGGAGAAGGGAGAGGAAAAACATAAAATAGAAATTGAACTATATTTACTGGTTACCTACTTAATTACAAAATCCTCGTAACGTGAAAATGATTGTCGAGTTTCTAAAGATTACTTCATAGTTCTTGAAACGTTTCCATAAACGTTCCGATTGTTCTACGAAGTGAATACAATTTTTTCTTTTTTTCTTTTTTTCTTTTTTTTTTTAGTTTTAATAGTTATCGCGTCATGTGGCCTGAGTCATCGCTTTTCATCTCACCGTGTCGCAATTAGCAATAAACGATCGTACATATTTGCTAATTTTCCATTCTTCGTATTTATGTATTGTATATGTGTGTATATACACGTTAGACGATACACGTGTTTCTTATTTATTATTAAAGATTTATTAATGGGAGAATGCTCATTCGATCGGAAAATGATCTGCGAATTAAACAATGTTATTAGAGAAGTTGATTAGAGAAATAATTATTTCCTTTATATTATGTAGATTGTTTTAAGTTCGATTAGAAATATTTAAACATTTTTTTGAATATCTTCGTTTTATCGTATTATTATAGTTACGATATTAATTTTACAGGAACAAGGATGGATAGTCTCGCAGGTGTTATTATTATTTATGCGTGATTTCACGTTAAATATTATCGTGCGTGAATCCTACAAATTTTATACACGAAAAAGGAAATAAAATAAAGTATGGAGTAGCGTGTGTGTGCGTGTGTAAAATTACGTTAAGTTGGGACGGATTAAACGGACGTCGTCTAATAAAAGCGATTAACCTACATATCGTATAACAGAATCGCATGTTTTGTAATGCCTTCCTTCTCTGCGATTCTGTTCAATGTGCCTGAAACAGCACGTTATTGTATTATATATAGGGTGTGGTGGCCGAATAATATTTAAATTCAAGCGCACGAAATGATTTTTTACGAAGAAATTAGAAATGAATATAGTAATAAAACCTTTTTTTATTCGTGGCTTAGTTTTGGAAACGGAGATTAATTTTGAAAAAATCCACTACATGCGATTACGGATAATTGTAAAATACGGTTCACTAAACGACGTATAAAATGTATTTTCGTAGGTGTGTTTAAACTCGTACGTAAAAATGATATTTTATATTTTCGTTTGATTTTTTTTCTCGAACAAGTAATCACTTCGTGGTCAATTGTACCCATTATTCCATCCGTATCATACGTTTTGATGAACGATATTGTAAAATTTGATTTATAATATTATAAAACAATGGTGAAATATTATTTTAGTTCGATCTGTTCAACGATGTAAATGATTTGCAAGTAATTCGATGAAATACGAGAGATATAATGTCGAATTGCTCGAAACTTGTTAAAAAGGTATTATATTATTATCGAGAAAGAACGAAAAAGGTATTAAATAGTAAAAGCTCGTTTAATGTCTTTTCGATGATAGAGAAAATCGACGAAAGGACATATATTTACGTAGAGATAAATTTACGTGGAAGTTGGTTTGTCTATGCAACGTCTGCCAGGGATAGTTGCAAATCGATCGAATTCCATTGCAACCGAAGGTGTGTTCGTAGACAGTCGGTAAATTCAAAGGACTACATCGGTATAACCTTTACGACTGGCCATGAGGGAAATGGCTACTCTACACTCGCCAAATTGAAAGTTACATAATTGATTCGGTTACCTATCAAGCATGCCGTGGTACCAGCTGTTACAAAGTATTGTGTTAAAACTACTTTCGAAATGGTTGATCAGGGACAACTTGATCCGAATGTAAGGCTATCTATTTCAACAAACGAAATTGTTTAACGATAACTGCAGGAAGGTTTAAAACGAGGGAGTTAAGAGTACATTTTAGTTGTTCGCTTTTGTTTTTACAAAACCAAAAATCAGCTAAACGAATGGAGAACAACGAATGAGCAAAACATACATAAATTCCCGGGGAATTTCTTCTTTTCTTTATTTTTTATTCGATCGTTTTAACAAACTATCGATGGGAACGCGAACGTTTTAAAATTGATTTGTTCTCAAACACACGTGCAAATGGAAGAATTAAAAGGTTTACTTTAAAGATAATCATTGCTTCAAATTCAGATAGGTAGAACATTATCCGAACGGTAACGTCCACGCTTTAATGGCACTTCCATTCGTTCTCTTCCTCTCCCTCTCCCCCTTCCTCTCCATCATCCTCTCTCTCTCATTCGGTTTATTTGAAATCTACTCTATTTCAATAGCCACTGCTATTTACTCTCGGCACTTGTGTAAAACGATAAAATCATAACGCCGTTCCATAATATCATCGTATATGCAGTGATTTAATTCAACGCAAACTCTTATCCTCTAGCTGCGATAACATACTACTCGTTAGAACGAACAGAGAGAAAGAGAGAGAGAGAGAGAGAGAGAGAGAGGGGGGATGGGATTCTATCTTTCAGGAATGAAAGAAAGAGACGGAGAATAGTATGATCTCTTGGTCCACCGGGACGTTTTCTCCGAATTCACTCGTACCTGAGTATCGTTCCGTAGCCACAATAGGTGGTGGTCAGTCGTCTTCGGTCCATTTCACCAATGGAAACGACCGACACACTGTGACTAAAATTTAATTGGCGAGGGACTGTGTATTTGAATTCCGTCTCCCGTTCTCGTAGTTTTCCTTTCACGCATATCCCC